TTTCCATTGATATCACCTTGGCAAAATCCCCGTTGACAGACCCTGAAACATTTAATTGACTTTTCATTGACACAAGCTGTAATTGCCTTTTAATCACAGCTTTACATCATGTTTTGAAATTCAAATTAGCAGTGTCAGCTCAGAGAAAAGGCCCTCTTCAACGCTTTGCTGTCATTCACAGATTCAAAAAGAGGAGAGTTTCAGTTTTGGAGCCTTGTGTAACATCGTCTTGTCCATTCTTGCTGACTGAAAGCAAACAGGAACAAGCTGTTTGATGCTCGTCTGTAATCTAAACAGAGCCATTGGTGGGGAAACGTTTAGGCTGTCAACAGCTTTTTTGTGACAGCCAAGCCTTTATCTGATGTCTGCACTCGTTTTGCCTCTGAAACAAGGTCTGGTGGAGGAAAAAATTTAAATCACATCTTGAAATAATAAAGCTGCCTTCAGAAATCATGCATGATAATTACGTATTGTACAAATGTGTAATTATTTGGACAATGTGCAAGGACTTAATAACTTTTAAGTCCTGTGATTTTGCCTGAGAGAGCATAGAGTTGTTGATTTACTTGAAGTGACCAAAAGTATCTGGCTTATCCAAAGAAAATGCACAATCTGAAAAGTCCAATTGTCTTTTTTGCTTTAAAAATTTTATTTGAGAGGGACTGTATTTGGCAGGTGGCCACATCCCATGAAGATGTGGATTGCAAAGGCTGTCGATAAGGCAGGGTCAGGCTTCCACACCCCTCAACTCTCTGAAAACAGTTCCCACGCTCCTTGCTTTCAGTGCAGCGGAAGATGAGCAGAAGCATCTGCTCAGATAAAATCAGTATTTCTGATTCCTTTTCATTGTCTATTTTTATCCTTTGTCCATCACAAATGATCCCCAGACAGTCAGTGCCTTGAGATCATTCCTATATATGCATCTGCAGTATGGATTGTACTATCGCCATTATTCCTGTCAACATATTGTATGGTAAAACGGAAACAATACATTTTTCAGAAAATGAAAATCAACTAACCAAATTTTAAAGAAATCAAACTGTGAAGACATTTAATGTTCTTAAGCTTAACCATCCCTGATTATTGATGATAGCTCAGTCATCAGAGTCAAACACCAGCTCAAAACCATAAGATTTAATTTACTTTGATACGAATATAATTCAAAATGCTCTGGAATCTTTTCAAATTTGTCCAGTTACTCATCTGCCAGTAATAACTAATGATCAGCTCTCATGACATTGACCCAAATATACAAGATAAGTTTTTGTTGTTGTTGTTGTTATTATTCAGTGCACTTTTTCTTTGTATTTTGTGAAATCCTGCTGTGGAAATCTTCATTACCCGGCTATGTTTTTGTTGGCATTTGTAAAACATAAAAAAGGAAAGGGAAAGAAAATAAAAACACCACAGAATTGTATCTTTAAAAATGTTCCTAAACTCATTGACAATAGGTGTAGTAATATTTGTGCTCTATGATTGCTATTCTAGTGGCTTCAAACTTGGAGACTTGGTAGCTTTTCTGCAAACTTCACTGAAAACCTCTAAACATAAGTTTTTCTTCCCTTTGTTTCACTTTCTGCTTTTGTCCCTTTTCATCTGACTTTCCCTCTGTTGTTCTGTTGTCTTGTTTTTCTGATTCTCCTTCCTCCGGTTTCTCAGTGATTGTTAGTGACGTTTAGCGACTCTTCTTGGGAGAGAGCGCGCTCTCTTTAAAGCATCCTTGATGCTCCCCAGCAAACAGTGACAGCAAGAAAATGTAAGCTGGCAGCTCACATATAAACCATTCAGCTCTGCAGACCTTGTACAGGGTTCTTTCTTCTTTCACAGGCTTATTATCCATTCTTTTGTCTTTATGCTGGTGCAGAGTTTCTCTTGTTTTACTCCTGGAAGAAGAAGTAGAGAAAACATGGGGTTTGTGTCTGATTTCTCCCCCCTGTTCCTTATCTTGCAATTTTCATTTCATTGAGTCAGACTCAATTTGATTTTTTACCTGTAAGACAGCGCCCTCCCAAAAATGAAAGCTTATTAAAAAAGTTTTAGCTTACATTGTAATTAAACTGTCGTGATTAAAACCCAGAATCCCTGCTAAAATCCATGTCTCTATTCTCACCTTCTCACTCCAGCAGAAGGGATTCATTTTCCAATTCACTAGCCTCTGTTTGATTAATTTTAGTTGAATCTCAAGAAAGCTAATATTATTTCAGTAATTTCTGTTTTTCATTAATTAAATGTAAGTGAATATTCATGGATAGCTTGAGGATTTCTATAAATATTTTTAAAAAATCAAAAGTTCAAATAGTAAGACATTGTTGTTTTTAAAATAAACATGGAATTTGTGCTTAAAACATCCACTCTGAGTACAAAGTCATGATCAAATTTTTCATCATTAAATCTTATTTAAGTGAATATTAATCTTTCTGATAGAAAAAAAAGCTTATCAGAAAACCAATCATTAAAAGGCTAATTATTCCTATTTTAGCTGGATTTCCTGCTCTTGCCAACCTAAATGTGCAAGAACAATTGCATTATACCAAACACAAAAAAATGTGTGCCAAAATATTATTACATGAAAGTGGAGTTTCAGTTGGAAATCAATCTTCTTTCTGCACAATTGCACAGATTGCAATCTATTTCAGCACAGAGGAACACAAAAAAAGGAAAGGAGGAAAAAAAAAAAAACACTCAACTTGAAATTGAGCCATTCATCACAGAGTAAACCGCATAACTGAGAGGCTGCATGAGGGAGCAAGGGAAGGTTCGATGAAATAGCTTGGGGGTAAGGAAGAGGGAAGATGTTGCTGCAGGAAGAACAAACAGAAGCTGGCCTCTATCTCCACTCTCCTCTCACAAGACAAAGCAAGGTATCTCCATTTCTAAGAGTGGTGAGTTGTTGCTTCAAAGCTATTTAACATTCCACGATATCCCAGCTGGAGGTGGACGCGCGCTGATGCCACCTTTCGCTGTGCTTGTCGATCAGGTTGTTGACTTTCTGTAAAAGAATCGGCTCTCAAGTCGCCATCCCAGATTGCGATGCGTTATGTACGACAACAACAATGTTCAAGTGTGTTCTGCCTGTTTACCACTGCAGACGATGTCAGGCAATGGCAACCATGGCGCCAGTGTTGGGCTGAATCATTGAAGGTGTCTCTGCCCTCAGGGGAACACAGATCTGAAAGCAGTGCGGCGTGCGCTATGCACTTTGTTTGCTGGGTCAGATCTGATCGTTTGCCAAATGTCAGTGGGACATGTCAGCCGTTTGCCATTGTTTTGTTGCATACACACACAATCTGTTATGAAATCTCTATGTTGAAGTGTGACAACTTTATTTTCTGTATATTAAATAGCTATCATTATGTTTGTAATTTCAGTAAGTTTGATGGACTTTTGAGTTAAGTTTTAGTTTTTGTCATAATTTTTTCCTTAGTTATTGTAGTCTAGATTTGTTAGTCAGAGAAAAATCTGTTGTTTTCACAGTTTTGTCATGAAATGGGAAAAAAAAGTTCACTTTTCAATTTCAATGCAGATGCTAAGAAAAAAAAAAAAAAACAGCTGCAGGCCAGGGGGAACAAGAGCCAATCTCATGCATCTCATACTGCCTTCCAAACAGCTAACATTAAGTCTAAATCGATTTAAGCTATTATTTTGGCACATTTGTATTCATTAATGAAAATGTCAGTCAATTTTATCATAATTCCAGTTATCTGTGTGAAATGCATGTTAGACAAAATGAAAAGTGTCAAACCTTTTCCATCAATAACAAACATAGTTTGGTTTTAATGAGACTATTGTATGCATTTTAAAGAAATTCATATTCAAACATGGGGGAACCAAAATAATAACTGGATATGGAAGAGTGATGAGAGTTTGAAATTTCATTCATTTAATCAAAGTAGCCTAAAAATAGGAAAATAATGACAGTCATGTTCAGGAAGAACAGAAACTGCTTGATTTGGAGGCAATGTTTTGCAGTGAAATTCTGCATTGATTCTTTTTTTTTCTTTAACGCAGATTCTGTTTAACCTTCATTGGTGTAGATGCACAAATGATTGAGACAAAAAGAGCAAAAGAAACATTAGTACTTATTGTCTGTTGCTCATTTGAACAGTTCGTTACAGTTTTAATGTTTTTATAAAATTGTATGAACTAAAATCTAGATGAATGGAGCAGCATTCTCCCTGAAAGTCAAGGGAAAACAGTTGTATGGCATTAGAGTTTTATGTCTTTGTGAAAAGAAGCAAATGTATGGAATGAATGTGTAGTGAAGTGAATCTCATTATTGGATACATTGAATTTTGTGGGTTTTGTCAAGTCCTTGAGTCAACATCGGTACCATAAGAATAAAGTGAATTGCATTGAGTTTAGAATTGTTGTATGAAGTCTCCCTGAATTATAAGAGATTTTATTTGGGATTTCCTTTGACTCGTCAGGAAGAATGAAGAACTAACGAGCTTGAGAGATTTAGTTTTGATGTTTAGAGCTCCTCCTTGTTGTCTCCTCAAATAAAACTCAGAATCTGAACTCACCTCTTGAGTGCTATTTTTTTTTTTTACTGTGGGAAGAGTTTTCACCCACCTGTGGCAAATTCCACAGACATGTCATCTTTTGAACTCTGATTGGCAACTCACTAAATAGTGTGCTGTGTGTAGCAGAATGAAACTGTTTTTCAGTAGGTAAGCAAACATACTCTTTGGAAGTTAACTGAGATCTCGTGGACTTTGCTTTCATCACTGCCTCTCAATACAATTCCTAGCTCTTTGATTGCACACTTAACCTGAGCAAATCTGGTATTCAATTTGTCTGCCCACTCAAGACTAAACTTCTGAAAAAAGTAAAAAAGAAAAAACCGCAAACAATAAAAAAGCCGGGACAATAAGGATTTAAAAATCACATAAGAATTAAAGCTAAAACTGAAGGACAACATTCCAGTTTTTACTCATTACGGTCATGCCTTATTAAGAGCAATGAGATCCGGCAGGGGCAACGCGTAATCATCTGGAAGGTCAATCACCACAGTCTGAGATTTCCTTCAGGACATCATCAATGTGCGCCTTACAAATATGTTGCGCCTGGTGAAAAGGAGAGGCAAGTTAATGTACTTTGGAAAAGAACATCATCATAATTATGTCAAGTGCAACATAGTCAATCATTTCTACATGCAACACAACTTTTAATATCAAGACAGTTTGGTTGTTAAAGGATAACTCCCTTAGCTTTAATTCAGGTTTTTATAAATATATATATATATATATTTTTGTATCACTGAAAACTCTGTATCTAAAATTGCCAGGTAGGGAGCGCTTTATATTCAGAAACATACCTTATGTACAACGTGTTTGAGCTCAGTCAAAGCAGACTCAACATCATCAAAGAACTTGTCCAGGTGGAAGGATGGCCACGTCACCAGCAGTGAGCCAAACCGAAGGGCAACTTCAACCTATTAAATTACCACCCATATACAAGCATTAAAGAAAATTATAACCACAAAACTGTAACAATTCCATACATTTCCTGGTTGAATTAAAAGGAAATTGCTTGTAACTTCCTTTTACAAGCAAGGATGGAGGAAGGAAGGACCCATGAAAAAAAGAGGGTCACAAGGAATGAAAGAAGGAATGACAGAAGGAGTGGCAGAAGAAACACATGAAATACCCAAAGAAAGAAGGATTATAGGAAGAGCATTTTGAAGTAGGGAATGAAGGACAGGTGTAATAATCTGAGGAAGGAGGAGAGAGAGGATACAATAGACAATTAAATACAGAAGTCTGGTCATAAAAGTTATTCCAAACCCCTTTTTTCCAGACTGATCTAGCCCTAGGTAATAACTAAAATTAAGTCCCATACTTAATCCTAGTTATTCCCATATGTAACACTTATACTGAATTTACAAAATACTTACATTTTTAACTTTTGAAGCAAGCAAGCTGCTTAAGTCATCACGAATGCTGACACAGGTGGATTCATACTCTTCCAAATTGGTCTAAAAAGGCATTCAAGTGACTTTGTATCAGCTTACTACCATCCGTTTCACCACTGTAGTGAAATAGCTAAAAATGTACTTTACCTTAAGCCTTAGGTGACTGTCCTGTAACTTCCGTTCCATATTGAGAAGAGCTAAAGCCTGCTTTGGAACCTCTAGACCCATGGTTAACAAACACTTTGTTTCCCAAATGACCTCAGTTATTTTTGGATCAAAGTTAGCCAAAAACTTTTTGGTCTTATGGTGACGCACCAGCAGGGTATGATTTAGGACTGTCACCAAGAGCAGAAAAAGTGCCTAAGTGTCCTATAAAAAATAATGCCAGCATTTAGCAGGAAACTAGGGACTTACTGTGATCTAGTTTGGAAACTTCATCCTTCCATTTCTGGTATTGGTGACATTCAAACTCCACCAGTAAGGCTGCCGTTTGATTGTACAGTCTGAGCACTTTTTTCCCATCGGCACTTGACAGAACGTCCGAGTTTTCCTTTTGAGGAAGAAAGACCAATCAATAACAAGGAAACGCACAACTCTTGCCTTTTATAAAAATCAACCCACTTTTATGAAAAAAATGGGTTCGTGAATCCTTTTAAAAGGTGCCTGGCCCAACCAATTCTGCCAGCCACTGGAGGCATGTTTCTAGCAACCGGAGGATCCTTATGCTCCTTCTCAAAGAGCTACAAACAAAGAGGTCGAAATTGTTTCATTCTTAAATTACATTATGTATCTATGTTTTGTTAAGTTCTATCAAACTATAAACCTTTGTGATATTATCCACTTCTGTGATATAGCACTGCAGAACATTATGCAAAATGTGGAAAATTTGTGTGTCCAGACAAGAAAGCTTCAGCTTCTGAAATCTATGAAAAGAAAAGTTAATAGAATTATAATAAAATAACAATAAAATGATATACAATAACTTACAATGCACTATGATGAGTGTTACTAACCGCTGTAGAAGTGCCAGAGCTTGCTGCGATGAGTAGATTTTTGAGAAGCATGAATTCATGAATACCTGGAGTTTGTTCTGTCGACATGAACAGGAAGACATGTAAATTTCAATGTAGTTTCAGCATCAAGCTATGAAACTGATAACACTAATCTGCATAGACCAGTCATCCTTCTTTCTTTTAACGATACTCTCTATGGTTTTAAAATAAAGTAGACATGCGTATGTATTGTATTAAAGTGGTTCACGCTTTTAAATCCTTCCCCTTCACATGTAAATCAAAATGATCTATATGAAGTAGCGCTGTGATGCTTGGTCTGTGTTCTTCGCCATTGTAGGTCCACAGAATCCTCGTTTACCCTTGTTCTGAGGAGCGCTTTAGAACTTCAATGAGGCTCTGATGCCAGGACGCAATGTAAGGAATCATGCGCATTAATACACGCTAGAGCCAAACATTTTGACTTGTCTACTTGCAACTTAACAGAACTTGAACTACAAAATTGTTGTGGGGAAAAAACTGATTAGCCGGAAGTCATGAACTTGTTTAGTAGATCCACAGCAAATGGGGTGACGTCATACAAAAAAAAGACATCATAGTGAATAGAGAAAAATTAACATGACTAAATATTAAAAAGTGGATTTTGCATTATATGTCCAATTTAACTTAATTATTGACAATTTTAAACATTTGGCTCAAAACCTTTTTGCAAGTTTCCGCGGTTTTTTTCTTGAGCTCCAATTCTTTGAGGTTGAAAGGCCTAAGTACTACCACCCTAATTGTTAGGTCACACCATACATTCTTTATCAGATTTATGTTGGTAGTCTCTCTGGGTCACTCTGAAACAGACTCCTTCTTTCATAAAAATATATTTGAAACTTGAATCCCACGTCTTTGAGTCAAACTTAAAAAAATTTACCTTTATTGCGTGAAAGACAATGATCATAATGTAGGAACAGACATACCTCAATTAGGCTGATTTCATTCATAAACTTGACATAATCGCCATCAAATTCAGTCATCTTTGGAGACAATATGTCATACTGCTTTCTTTTCAAATTTGTGGACACATTCTGGAATTGTCTGGCAAGAACCTCGATGCCTTCAATCTTTGACTTTCCAAGAGATTCAAATGTCTTGAACACTGAGATTACTTGTTCGATCTACAAAAGATAATAAACGTGTTAATTCTTGGGGTAGTGTTGTAAAAGTGTCTTGTTGAGGAGCACTTGTTTAAAACTACCCTATTTGTACGATGGCTGACAGGTGCTAACACACAGCAGATGGCAAAATGATGAGTTTTACGTAGAATTTTGTGTCTAGTCTACGCTGCATACCCAGAACTAGAAGCAAACAGGGAGAAGCAACATTCAGCTTCTATGTGTAATGGGATAAAGTCCTCAATGATTGAGGACATCTGTGCCAGAAGCAAACAAGTTAACTGACAGCAGTGGTGCTGAGTATAAAAGGAGGCTGCTGTTGGGCCGGAAGATGCTCTCCAGGTGCTTGTTAGCCATCAATGCTTGTTGTTGGTTTCTCAATTGATAACAAATGTTTTTCATTCAATTTTTGTGTTTTTATGTTGCACAGCACTTTGAACTGCCTTGTCGCTGAAACGTGCTACACAAGTAAACTTGATTGATTGATTGAAAAGATTTCGAAATAGAAGTGCGAAAGACCCTGAGGGGGAGATGACCAACAAATCATATTGGACCTGAATCTAAGCAAAGACTGAATTAATGTTCAGAAGAAAAGTGGAGGAAGGAAGCAGTATCTTATATTTCATCTCTTTTTAAAACACACAGTCTCTTCCAGTAGCATTTTTACATTGATAATAATTATCTACTCCAGACTCCCCCCAGTGGCCTGGAGAATTCCTGCTTTGCAGAGCAAGTTTGCAGAGTCTTTGAATTTGCTTTTTTGCAGCATTTTTCCTTTTGCTTCTATTTCCTGTGGCTGCAACTTTTTATTTGTGATTCCAGCATTTTGCGATTGCATTGGGGTTTTTGAAGTTTGACTAATTCATCTGTGTGCAGCTCATTTTGCCCTTAGTGAGCATTTACATCAGTTTGCAGCTCATTGCACCATTCGCACCGTGTTTACACCTGTCAGCTGCCATACATACTTGGCTATCTCCACAATGTCAGCCTCAGAGGCAACACTGACCTTTTTAAGTCTTTTACAGAAGTTCTCAAACATGCCAAAAATATGCCGCTCTGAAAGCACAGTCTTTCCCTTCTGGTCTGATTTTCCCGTTAGCTTTTTTTCATGAAGAAGGACCGATACGCCTCAAACAAAGTTATGCAGTCCTACACAGAACAGAACAGACAACAGGTAATGACTGCTGAAGTCAAGCCAAAGCAATGCAAGCACACACAATAAGAAGTATTAGCATCACAGTCACCTGCATTTTCCTCATGAGCTGTTCGGGATCTTGATCCCATATTAAACTCTTGCCATGGTCAGTAATATGTGCTCTGCACGCTGTAACCAGTTGATTTGTGACCTGAAAATGTATACAACTGAATAGTTAATTTTTAGAAAACAACTTAAATCTTAAATAATAATGATAACACACTTACTTTAATTAACAGTGATGGCATCTTTTCATTTATGTTGCGGAACAGTGGTACACTGTGAACTAATTCAATGGCGTTGACGAGACTTTGCACACTTTTTATGAGGGAATCCTGGAATTATGAACAACTTATAATACAGATATGTTACATGCAGAGAAAAAGGGTTGTAAGACAATTTCTGAAAGAGTTGAACATCCCTCTAACAAGTAGTACAAATACGTGGCAGAGAAATTCACATTGTGAATTGCGTGTCAAATAAAAACTTACCTTGGTGCATTTTAATAATTACGGTAGAGACCAACAAAGTACAATCTTAAATTATGTCATTCTTGCACACAAAATGAAAAGTTTTTTAATCCTTCATACTCCCCCTTCAAATATATTTTCATTCAATGTATCATAACACAAGCTCTAGCTCCTCATTAAATGGCCTAAAATACATACCGGGTCATTGTTATACAGTGCTTCCAAGACTTTCTCCAGTGTGGACAGGAATTTTAAATAGTCTTTTGATTCATTTACACGATCTGTTATCCTCCTGTCCAGATCCCGCCACACCTACACAAGGATATGGTTTGAGTTAATAGGGTATGTTAAGTTGTTTATATAAGTTATTTAGGAACACGCTAAAGCATCCTCCTGACAGAAATACAGCTTTCTTAGAATCTAGTTAATTAAAACATAACCTCAAAACACTCAATTTTACACGGTGCAAAATGTTTTATAGTCTATACTAAACCTTATTATTACCTTTATCATTTTGGAACGGCGTATATGGAGTACCATTACCACTGCATTACACTCTTCACTTTTCATGTGATTGACGATGGAGCTGAACTTTGAGTGCTTCTTCTTCCAGTATTCTAACTCGCTCAGAGGTCCCTCAGCATCTATTTTCCTCAACTGATCATCCTCAGTCAGGACCTGATCATGATGAAAATAAAACACATTACAGTGATTAAGCGTTGTATGTCGCCTTCAGCAGAATTTGATCTGGGCCCTATCTTCCTGCAAAGAACTTCACTTCACCAACAGCATTTCAGTAGCAATCTGGTGGAATCTGGGGGCCAAGTTTAATTTGTTGTGCTTAAATTTCAAACTTTTAGATTTATGATTCATGTTTCAAGCTTTTCTGGGGACCCCCTGACCCTTTGAAGGCTCTAACTAGCGATTAGGTTTCTACATACTTTAAGCAAGTCAGGGGTGTCCAAGTTGACCCCTAACTATATTACACCATTAGAATATTTTTGGGGGGCAGGTTTCAATGTTATCTTCAGCCAAAGATTATGAGTGACAATTTTTTTAAAATATCAGGTACAACACATAGTATTAATCTATTTGTAAACTTTTTTTTTTTGCTTTTACTGTAATTTCAGAGTACATAAGACTGCAAAATTTTACTTAAAAGCAGATTTAAATGTTCCTAAAAATACATCAAAGCATTTTATTAAAGCAACAAAATATCAACCAGATAATTTGGAAAATTGAATGTCTTTCTTTTAATGAGGTGAGACCTTTTTTATATTTTTTTTAGATCAATTGTGATTTACAAATTCCTTTTCTATGAAAATATAAATACTTTGTAGTTTCAATAAAATTACTTAATTTTGGAAAAGGCAAAGAGAATTTACAGAAAAATGCTTTTTTGCATCTCTGTAGAAAAATACAAATTTAAGGACTGTTAGTAATTTTAACTTGTCAATTTTGCTACGTTTGGTTAGCAATTTAGATATAAGTACCGGTCTAAGCTAACACTTCATTTTTTTTGTGGCTTACAGCATCTTTCATCCTGTTTTAGCCACTTCTAGTACTAATCAAAGGCAGTTCTGTGACACAAGAGACAACACAGATAAATGTTTGTGATTACAAACTTGTTCAATTTCCTTGCACCAGCGCCTCAGAATCTCTTCCAGTCGCTGCACTTCCTCAAAGTCAGAAGCTGCGACTTTCATCTCTTCAAGACACGTCAGTTTGGAAAAGTTGACCCCTAACGGTTTGCTCAAATGAACAACACTGTGTTTCTTATCTGAAGGTCTGGTAAAACAAAGTAAAAAAAATATATATATGAATAAATTCTACTAAAGTATTGTTTGAGTTTTGTAGTTCCTCAACATAGATGTATTTTTCTTCTGTTAACACTTAGTCAACTTGAAAGAGTACACAGTGAAAATCCAAAAAAGAAAAATCCTACCATCAAGCGTGCCCAGGAAATGTTTGAAGTTCTCCAAGAAGATCTTTTTTGTTTTTTCCCCGTGTTTTGACTGGTCCAACGCTCCCCAGTTGTCCTGTGCCTCAAGAATTGGTAGCAGAAATCCATAGGCATTCTTTAGTCCTTTTAGGAGGCCCTCAGTGGCATCAAACACAGAGAAACAAGTTTGCTATGAGACAATCAGAAAAAAAAAAACGTTAGAAGGAATGGAAGAAGCATAATAAACACAGGTAATATTATTTATTTTGATACTACACAATGGTGAATGACTCAAATACGTTTGGGAACATGTATCTTTTAACATTGTATTTTTTTTTCTCTTCTACCACGTGAAACATTCATCCTCATTGTGATGTAAGATAATTTATTTTGCGTTCAACAGTGAGTGAGCACTCTAACTGTCTACCTACTTTGCATGAGTGAACCTTAAAAACGAGAATAACTTTGCACATACACACAAATAAATAAATAAATACAACAAATAAAGTCACAGAGAAAAACTACATAAAATTTTACCTCGTGTATTCTTTCAGGAGTCACAGGATCGTTCACGTCTGTTCGAACAAAATAGCAGCAGAGTCCGGTCAGAGAGATTTCTCTTAAATCGGCTAAAATCAGCCTGCGTCCTTTTTCTCGTGCGGCAGGTCCCTGAAGTGCGCGCCCACATTCTGAAACCAAACGCAAAATGGCCTAAGTGAGTGACATGAGCAACAACTACTGCTTTAGAAAACTGAAATCTGTTAATGATAGGCCTAAAATTTGCTTAAGCTTTGTAAGATGAAAAAAATTAACAGCAGATGGACTCGGGACAGACATTTCAGAATTCAAGGCTTTTGCATGTAATCCTACCTACTCCTGGGGGGTCAGACTCCTGGTAGACAAAGGAGATCGTTTTACAACCTCCAGCAGCGAAGAATTTATCAAAAGCAGCCAGCTATGCCGAAAAAAACAATAAACAAGCAAGCAGAACATGGTAAGAACATGTCCACAACACACAAAAAGCAGAGATGCAGTTATTAAATACCAATCCAACCAAAATCAACATTTCTGAATTTAAAGACATCAAATCAAACCCAAAAAAGTGAAATGGAAAAAAAATGCACGCAATGCAATACTGTATCACATATCATGCATTTGTGATGTTTGACACAGCTGTTTGGCATAATCAGGCGCTCGATAACTCATTATCTCTTCGCAATATTTTGCAGTCTCGTTATGAAGAGATTGTAAATCTATGCTTCACAACACAAATGTATGAGGAAAAGAGGGGCAAAAATACTCAGAGAAAGTACAGCTGTGTATATAAGATTCTCCCTTCAGCTGCACTCAAAGATACACTTAAAAACCAAGAACTTTCCAGCTTCAATGATATTTGAAATGATATTTTCAAAGTTGCCAAAGGACAATAGTGGAACTGCTGTCCTGACCGACCCAAGGCATGAGCAAACTAAGCTCAGTTCGGCCCCAAAACCATCCCGTAAATGCTTGAACTTTAATCGGACTTATCGTTCTAATCATTAGATTAGAAACTCATACCAGCCCATAACCACAATCCAGCGATTGTGATTCTGGAGGTAATCCATACAAAGATTCCCTCCTTTCCATTGACTGATTTGATTGTTGTTTTGAAGGCAAAGCCATAAAGGAAGACTCACCGATGGAGAATCTAAAACAAATTCCTCAACTGCCGATGGGGTCAAAGATAGCTCATTTGCCAATATTTCAAACATGTATTTGTGTGAAGAGGTAATCAGCTTTCTCCGCTCATCTCTCTCCTTCTTAAAGATGGACTGAACAAGGCAAGAAGTGCAATTAGCAAACAGTTAAGAGACAAGTTAAATCTGCTGTGTAAAATCAAAAGGCCAAGGGGAAAAAATAGACTCACTTCATTTCCAACCTTGCTTGCTCTTGGGTTTTGTGAATCCATTATGAAAATGTTTGGTAGGCAGGTATAAGGGCTTCCTTGCTGTTTACAATCTCAGCTCTCCTTCTCCCTTTATGACTATGACTATGAAGCCAGAGAACACAGTCATATGTAATTCTATGTTTTCTATTTCTTTACAAAAAAAAAGCCTCAAAAAATGAAGTTAAAGCAGAAAGGAAAACGGGCCTTCTGTGTGTCTGAAATGTTCTCTTGACAATTAGTTAAGAAATATTGAATTGTGTATTTTTGCAATACATGTGACCTGGGCACATGTATTGCCCAGGTCACATGTATTGCCCTATCTGACTGCAGGAGAGCCACACCAGACCCCAAACACATCCTTCTTACCCAATGTCCTGAGAGACCACCAGACAGTGGTTGGTATCAACCCCAGCAATAAAATGATTAAAAAAAAAAAAAAAGAAAAGAAAAAAAGCTCACTAAAAGTGCTTGATAATTTTTATGCACCTTAACTTGTTAAACTGTTTCATAAAACACAAGATAATCTGTGTAAACATTCACTGGCAAGATGGTCTCAAACTGGACTTTATGGTATTTGGCAACTGGACGTTGATAATGTTAACCTATCAGGATCTTTAATCACCAATGAAACCGTCACTCTTATCAATCGGTTACAGAATATCCGCTTAACGCTCTGCGGATTCACTCTCGGACTTCCACCCTGCGCACTCTGTCAAAAACAATAGATATATATATATATATATATTTAAAAATTGTTAAAAAGTTATCCTTTCTCCTCCTTTCTAACAGGTACATTATGTTAGCTCAACCGTTAGCCTCGGCATAGCTGCTTGCTTTCAGTACGCTATAACTACTTATAATAAAAAGTAAAAGAAAAAAAGAACGACTTTACCGAAACGGAACCTTCTCTTGAAACTGGAGCTTCTCTTGAAGGCATTTCTTTCGTCAGTTCGGCTGTTTTCTTTAAAAAAAACAAAACAAATAATAATAATAATCTTTCGTGTATCCTGGTGACGTTTTCCACCGAAACCAGACGTTACTGTGACCGTTGCTGGTTTCAAACGGTTCATAGAGCTTTTGACTGTCGCGAGCCGAGCTGTTGGCGAAAATTTGGAAAAGAAACCTTCAGACCTAATCTGATATTTGATTTAATTATTTGCCCTCCCCTCCCCCGTCTTAATCATGAAAAATAAGAAGGTGGATCTGTTTCCATTTTGACATATATTTGCATACGCGTTAAAAATGTGCCGATATATTTGTATGTTGAACTAGATCTGAAGTGATGAATAGGTACGGGGGGAAAAAAAGAGAGAAAAAAAAGCCCTGTAAAATAATGTTGACATGATGACGAAAGAGAAACTTAAACGTATGGGTTTTTTTTCTCAGTAACTTTCTTATGTGCCACAGGGTGGCGACATTTCACAAGTTCATGCTAATTGATTGGGTACCTGCAGCTCAATGCAATCTAAATCAATTGCAGAACCGTGGTTGATATGTGACATAAGTAATAAGTATGAGTTTTTATGATATATTTACAATTAAAATATAATACATATATAATAAAATAATAAAATACTAAGAGTTTCATAGTTACAAGTCGTCAAAATATTAGGGACAATCAACTTGTAAGATGTAGAACATAATGTGTCATATTTGGGGGGGGGGAAGCCAGAATAAAGATTTTTGGTGTGCTTGATAAAATAAAAAACATTTATTTCTTTACTTTTTTTTTTTACCTTTTCATTAGTCTGCAGTACAACACTTGGAACAGAATTAGTACTCACCCCTATACACGTGAATTGATGGGACAATAAATTATATTTTTCTTTTCTATTCTATTCTATTCTATTTAAAATAAATGAAACCACGAATTTTACCTGTTGGGTGTATTTACCCGAGTAAATACACAAATCTTAAAAACAATTTGTGCATTTCCTCAGGTTATTGTTTAATGTTAAAATTTGTTTGATTTTAAAACAAACAAGAACACTTTCAAACTTCATCAGTTGGTTCACGCATCTTTCGGTCTTCTCGCGCTTGTTAGATTTACGAGGAGCACTTGAAGGCAACGCACTTCACGCTGTTGCCACGTTATACGTGACGTAGCTGGAGGCGTGGATCTGTGGGAGGCGTCACAGCTAAGCCTTGTAAGACAGGAACCGCACAGCCGCTGATGTTACTGATCTTAACGTCAACGAGAGTCCGTGAAAGAGGTGAGAGTTGGTGTGTTTTTTGTTTTTCTTCTGTAATATTTATACAAAATCTGTTATTTTCGCGTGCCGTCGATGAATTAGCAGCTAATATAAACGTGCTCGGCACCCGCGTCCTCATCGCATGTCTGTGCTGTTGTCAAGGCAGGTTGATGAACGGCGCTTAAGAAATTAGTACAATTAATGTGCATAACAGAGCTTCACAAAGCCAGGCCTGCTTACATGTAGTTTCTTAGCCGTGCCTCGTTGCTGTGTGTTTGTAAACCC